TTTCTCTTATATGAGAAACAAATAAGGAGCAAAATAGAAGACAGATAAATAGGAAATAGAAGTTCAAATAATCCCCAAAATTCCTGATTCCACTTAACAAAAATAGTTTAATAAATATGCTAGTTTATTTCACTCATACTGCTAGTTTCTCTTAGTTCATTGAAAAGAAAGTTTTGTGCTATTATGTTTCTTCTTTGTAAAAATCTTTTTGTCTCTGTGTAACTACTTTGAAGATACAAAACACAGTGTATTAACTATTATTATTCTTTTATTATTTTATACTAATTTTATTTTTTCATAAAATAGAAAAGTACTTCTAAATTAAATGATTGCTTGAGTACTATTTACCCACAGTGTGGTCGGTGTGTATAAACATGTAGAGTCTTACAGCTGATGCTGTAGTTTGGATATCCGGGGTTCACCCAAAATGCATTGTCAGGCCCTGTTCCTCAGCGCTCTGCCCAGCCCCAAGCCCAGCATCCCCGGTCCCCTTAATTTCCCTGTAGTTTGGTCTTTTCTGTCGTCTCCCTTGAAAGTCTGTAAATGGAGAGCTGTAGTCCACAGTGTCTTGCATTTTGTTTCTGTCACTTAGCATAACGCCTGAGATTCACCCACAGGACTTGCATGTATTAGTGGTTACTTCATTTTGTTTTTGAGTAGTTTTCAATTTTGGGGAGGGCCCAACATATGTTTACTCATTCGTACAATCATTTGGGTCGTTTTATGCACCTTATTGTGAACATCAGTTTTTATTTCACTCGCGTAGATAGCTAGACATGGGCTACTGCTCTGTAAGGTGAGTGCACGCTTCACTTTATGAGAAACCGCCAAACTTTTCCCAAGGTATTGTGGTTCTTTTACATTTTACGACCTAGATATGAGAATTCCACTTGTTTGACATCCTTGCCAGCAGTGCATTGTCCGTTTAAAATTATTTTTCAGTATTAAACACTAGCACTTCTAACAAATGTTTAATGATTTCTTGAGGTTTTAAATTGTATGTCTCTAATGACTAATGTGGTTATTTTTCATCCGTATATTTGTTGGAAAAGTTTCTCCAGTTTTTAATGAGTTTTTTTAATATTGAGATTTGAGAGCGCATATTTTCTCTCCATATTTTCATATTTAAACTTTTTATGTCTGTTTCATATTCTGGATAAACTTTAAAAAGTCTTCTAGGTCTTTAAAATGTGTTGTCTGCTAATGCGTTTATTTATTTTGTGCAGTCCTGGGCCTTGCACCCAGGCCTTGTGCATCCTAGGCAATGTCTCCAGTGTCCAGTTCTCCAGAATTTTTCATTGACCCTTTAAAAAGTAGGTATTATTGGTTTTGTTTCAGGATGTCTTTTTTAAAAAACATGGATGCCGTTTCTTATTTTAATCTCTGAGTTGCAAAAAAATAATCCTCATTTTAAAGCCACTTTTCAAATATTTAAGTTGTTTTTGTTCCCCGTGGGGTCATCGTACTTCCTGACTGTTGAATCTATCAGGTATCGCTCTCAGCATCTGTGCCTCCCACCGCTGCTGTTGACCTTCATCCTCTCGCTCCACGTTGTCCCACCCCTCTCCCCTCAGAGCTGGTCCTCCCAGTCACACCGAGGCCTCCTCTGCTTGGTTCCAGGGCTCATGCTTCAGGACCAGCTGCATCCACAGCCCGCTGCAGAAGTCCCTGAGCTCCCCGGGCAGCCTTGGGCTCCTGTGCCTCCAGGTCTGCTTCCTCCTGCCTCCCTGGGTAAGCAGCTCCCATGAGCCAGCCTGCGTCTCCCCTGGCTCTGTTCCTTCCTTCCTGGGAGGTAGAATCTGACCCCAGTGAGCTCCAGCTGAGTTTGCCTTTGGTCCCCTTGGCACTGTAGACGGCGCTGTCTCTGTGTGCCTTCAGAGCCAGAGGTCAGCAAGGCCGGGCCAGGCTCCACATCCCCTTGAGTTCCTGCCTCTCTCCTGGTCTATGACGGTGTCTGTCCTTGGTCCTGTCCCCTCATCCCCTCAGTTGCATGTTCTCCACCATCGCTGTGTGCTCCGAGGCAGTGCAGGGCAGTCCCGGGAGGTCTAGGTGTGAGCTTCCCACCCCACCTGGCCACAAGCTCATCCCCTTTACAGAGCTAGCCCCAGGGCATCGCACACTAACGGCCACACACTTTCAGGCCACACCTTTCAGGTGAGACGGGTCAAGATGAATGAAAGAAGACAGCGTCGCAGGAGGACCCCAAGTCCCTGGCTTTCTGCCGTTGGGACGATGTTTTGAAGCTAGCAGACTTTTCATGACCTCTCACAGGATGAGGGACGTCTATGGTGACTAACGCGGTTCAGCATCTCAGAAATCACGGCTCTGACTCACTTACCAAGGCACCGAAGAGCTCCAAGGGAATTCACAGTCTGATTAGTGCAAGACTTTAAAAGATAAATCTGCAACAGCTTCAGAGAGGCAGCAAAATTAATGGCTGGCCATCTGGCTTGGTTTTATTGACCTATTTGTTCCAACTGTGCTTGTTGGCGTTGCACCTGGGATGCGGGAAGATGAAATAGCTGTGAGGTATTTTTAAAGGACTTCTGAGACTTGGCTCTCTCTGTTCCTGCAAGAATTTGTGTGAGACGATGCTACTGCGACGATGCTCACTCGCTAACAGACACTGATTGTCTGACGTGCACCGAGCGCTCTTCTGGGTGGGTGCAGCCTAGCATCCACAGACCTGGGGGCTACTCTGCCTGGTGCTTCCTGGCCATGCCCACATTTGCTCTTTTTTGAAATTCTTAACCGTGTGCTAGAAATTTTGTAAGCGCTAAATAAAAAATCTTGCCCAGGACACCATAGGGTTCTCTTTTAATTGCCTTCTCTTCCCCTTCCTCTCTTCCTTTTCCCTTCATTTCCTCTTCTCTTTTCTTTTCCTTTGCCTTTTCTTTCCTGCTCTCTTCCATCATTTGTCTCCCTCTCTCCCTCCCTCCCTGAATACAACATATGCTTCTATTCAGGGTTTTATCTGTGATAAAAACCTAGGAAAGTGCTGCTGTCCACCTGCACAGCCCTTTGGTCTTCCTGACCCAACTCAGCATTTCCAGCCCTGTGTCCTGTGTGCACTAGGCAGAGGACAGTCCTTTGGAAGAGGAGATTCACTGGGGTAGGGAAAAAGAGAAGAGAGAAAAAGGAAGGGGGAGGAACAGAGGCAGAATGAACCGGTCTCTGCTCTCTCATGGTGTTGGAACCCTCCCTCTACCTGGCCTTAGAGACTGGAATTTGACCTCAGACTCAACAGCCCGACTGCACTGTGAGCCCAGCCTGCAGAAGTGGGTAGCCAGCAGGGGGGAAAGAGAGCAGGGTGAATGAAAGGAAGTGGTCAGTGGGGGGTCTCTGCAAGGCCGAGGCAGGAAGATTGCAAGTTCAAATCCAGCTTGGGGAAACAGCAATGTAGTGAAACCCTGTCTCAAAATTTAAAAACATATTTATTTATTTGAAACAGAGCCTGACTATGTAGCTCAGGCTGACCTTGAACTCTCGGCAGTGCTCCTAGCTCACCCTCCTGAATGTTGGGGTTATAAGCATGCACCACCACGCCTAGTTTCAAAATAAAAAAATTTCTTTTTTTTTAAAGTGGGGTGTGGATGTAGCTCAACGTGAAAGCCTTGGGTTCATCCCCAGTACTGAAAAAGAGAAAGGCACGCGTTTGGAGCCACCAAGCTGGAATCTTCCCTCTCTGGCTCGATGCTTCCCAGGGCACTGGCTTGAGGCTGTTTCTCTGCCTGGGCCGTGGGGACAGGGCTGTCCGTGACTGCACTGAGCGCAACCCGTCTTTTCCTGCCAGGGGAAGTTGCTGCTGAGCCCAGGGTCGGCTCCACACCAGGAGCTCCAGGGCCACAGAGAAAGGCCGTGCCCTACGGGTGGTCACTTCTGTCTTTATCTTTCTTCCTGCTTTTCCTGTTGGGCTCAGGAAAAATACCCAGGCCTGGCAGCCTCTGTCTCTGGAAGCTGGGAGCCAGGTTGGTTTCTCAGCACTTCTTCTCATTTCTGACACTTTTCTTGAGCGGATGGAGGGGACAGAGACCGGCAGGTAAGACAATGGCAGAGGAAGGCATCCGCTCTTTGATATTTAATTGGACATCTGGCACCTGTCAGGACACGGTGGCAGGGAGGGAGGACAGTGGTCAGTGCAGAGGGCTGGGGGGTGGTCAGCTGGGTGAGGCCCGTGTACTCAGGGTTTTCCTTGTCTCTGTCACCTCCAGGGCCAGGCTTTTTCCTTTCCAGGGGGTGCGAATTTGCGAGCTAGAAACAGAGGCTGCCATCTACATTCTTTGCAGCGTTTGTCCAGCTCTGCTAGTGCATTTGCTCATTTTCTCCTCTATGGAATTCTGTAAGGAAGGGAAGATGCTGTCCCTGCCAGGAAGTTGAGCATTAGCTAACCTGCTCAAGGCCGTGTTGAAAGTGAGGATGAATTCCACAGCCAGGGTCAGGGGCAGAGATGAAATGTAAAGGTACCCAGCTTGGAGGGCTGCGTGGGGGCACACGGTGGATGCTGGCAATGCTGTGAACCTGTCCGGTGGGTCCTCTGGGGCGTCATGAGCTTTACAAGGTCACTGCCTCTCTCCATGCGGACTCTTGGGCCCTGCAGCAGTAGCTGAGACCTGTGAATGGTCAGCTTCTCCCTGGTCCTCACAAACTACTCTGTGTGTGTCTGTGACACAGCTACTTTTGCCAGCCAGCTTCCTGTTGGGCTAAGGGTCCAGGCACTGCTCCATGTCCACAGCAACTGCTCCTGTTTCTGCCCACCAGGCGGGGTGCTAGCTCAGGGGGGTTTTATCTAGGGATCACCCACTTCTCCCTGAGCAGGTCAGTTGCCAGAGAGTTTTTACTTTTGCCTTGGCCTCGCCTCCGTATTTATGCACACTCTGTGTATGTGTTTACTCAAGGCAAATAGCTACTGGCCTCAAATAACCCCCTGTTGACTGTAACAGGGCCGCACTTTGTTTTCTCTGTAAATAAACGAGATCCAAAATTATCCAACATCTGCAGAGCTCAACTTGACACCATGCTGCCTTCTCCCTTGCATTCTCCGGAACACAAACGGTTTGCCATTTACTCTGTTGAATCTCCTTTTTGAAATATCTGCTTTTTTGCTAGACAGTGAGTTTCATGTTTTGTGGCATCGTTTCCTCTGAATGACTGAACTCAGTCCAGTGTAAATGGGCTCTGCTGGATGCTGGCTGTGCAGCTGGTTAGGGAGCACTAGGTGCTGTGCTGAGTCCCCGCTGGGCACCAAGCTCTGAGGCTGGAGGGTCAGTGGGAGGTGTTCCCCTGGGTTTCTCTCAGCTGCAGCCTCCAGGCCTGACCCCTTCCAGCCCTGCTCCCACCTCTAGTGAAACCTCCCCTAACCTCTCTGGCTTGCAGCTCTGTTCACAAAATCCAAGAGCAGTGAGCCAGGTGTACAATCCCAGAATGCTGGAGTTCTTATAAATTCTGTGCTGAATTCTTGTGCATAAGTAAAATTCCCCCCATCCCTAAATTCGATAGGTCAGTGCCTTAAGGTACTTTCAAATGTGCATCATTATTGAACAACTCTTTAGAATGTTTTAAGGCAGAGTGAAATTTTGCTAAAAGTATGCACACGGAAAAATTCAGGCAAATGGTCATTTTTTTGCATGAATAAGCTCATAAATTTTCTTTCGTAGGTATTTCGAATGTTGGCTCAGAAAGATATACGTGACTATAAAGATAAAATTTCTCATTCTTTTTAATTTGCTTTAATTTTTTGATTAACATCTCTCAGTTGAACATGTTAATGGTTCGGTGTGAGATTTCAGTATATGTATATATCATATATTGAGCAAATGAAAGTAGTTAGCACCTCCTTCTCCACGTCATTTCTTTATGTTTGGAGCCTTTGAGCTCTTCTCTTTCAGATCTTCATGAAAACATCACAGATCACGGTGAGCTAAGTCAGCCCACTGTGGTCTGGAAACCAAAACGCATTCATTCTTTTTTTGGTACCTGTTATCCAACCTACTTTTCTCCCCAACTTTCCTCCTTCTCAGCCTCTATTAATCACCATTCAAATTTTAGCTTCTATATATGAGAGAGATCATGCTATACTTGTCTTTTTGTGTCTGGTCTGGCTTATTTCACTCAATATAATATTCTCCAGTTTCATCGATTTTTCTGCAAATGATAGGGCTTAAATCTTTTTAATGGCTGAATAATACTCCATGTGTATATGTACAATACTATATTTTCTTTATGCACTCATCTGTTGATGGTCACCCTTTCTTAGCTATTTTGAGTAATGCTGAAATAAACGTGGAATGCAGGCATCTCTTTGATATGCTGATCTCACTACTTTTAGTTGTGTATCCAGAAATGGGATAGTTAGATCACGTAATAGATCTGCTTTTAGTTTCTGAGGAACTTCCATAGTGTTTTCCATAGAGCCTGTACTAATTTACCTTCCCACCAACAGTGTGTAAGAGTTCCCTTTTCCCCGTGTTTTTGCCAACATTTCTTAGGTTTTTAAAATACCCATTCTAACGAGACTGAGATGACATCTTACTGTAATTTTTATTTGCATTTCTCTGATCTAATGATTGAATGATTGAACTTTCTAATGATTAAACATTTTAAATATATTTGTTGGCCCTTTGTATTTCTTTGTTTGAGAAGTGTTTATTCGGATCATTCACCCATTTGAAAAATTAGACTACTTGTTTCTTAGTTTTGTAAGTTCTTTATGTATTGTTGATACTGATCCTTCATCAGATGGGGAACTGGCAGCACTGTCTCCGTTCTGTAGGTTGTCCTTTCTCTCTGTTAATCCCCTCCTTTGCCTGCAGAAGCTGATAGTTTAATGTAGCCCCATTGGTCCATTTTAGGCTTCATGTCAAGGTGACTGTACCAATGTCTCAATGTGATTTCCCTACATGTTCATCTAGGGTTTTCAGAGTTTAAGGTCTTATCCTCATGTCTTTGACCCATTTTGAGTTGTTTTTTGTACAAGGAGAGGGGTGCAGGTCAGATTCTAGTCTTCTGGATGCAGAGGTGTGGTTTGCCCAGCACTGGAGGCTGAAGGGCCTGGGTTTGCGGGCAGTGTTAATACATGTAGAGGTATCGAGTGACCGCTTTACGTCAAGTTCAGGTGTCAGTTTGCTGTCATTGTCTCATTACATTGTCTCATTTTCCCATTAACTGTCAGAAGGCACGAGCTTTTCCTTGTTATGAAAGCTGAGGAAAAATTTTCACAGTATTTCAAAAACTAAAATATTTAGAAATTCAAGTGAGTTATGTTTTGAGAAAACTCAATATGGGAGGCAAAATATTATTAAATGAATATAGTTAAAACAGGAAAGTTGGTATTACTCCTAGATTTGGAAAAAAATGTTTCAAAGTTGTTAGAGTGAACTTTGATTTTTAAAAACCTCAAATTACATTTCACAGGAAAGCAAAGCATTTTGTAACAGAAGGTAGACTTTATATTCTATAACTGCTTACTAAGTCAAGGCTGTCTTCTGCCCTCTGTATTTCCAGTTTAGTACAGTTTTATAGAGAACTTCTCCATGAAAGCAGGGGAGAGGTTTGTTATCTATCCAGCTCTGATTTGCCTGGCCCATTTATTTCCACAGTGTATCACAGGCTGTGTGCTGGTTTCCTTAAGCTTCCTGGATCCCAAAGGAAGCTGGAGGAACTTGTGCGCCAGTCATCAGCAAAGCCCGGACACCCAGCTGAACGAATCCCTCAGTGAGCTGCCCACGAGCCCTCAGGAGTCCAGCTCATGCCTAGTGCTCTTCCCAGCATGGACAGGTCAGTCTGGCTTCATGCTGACCCAGAGTGAGGCGTGGAAACTCAGCCGGGACACCTGGGAGCAGACAGAACCCTGGGATTTCAAATGACGCTGTCCCTCCACCCCGTACCTGAAACCCCAGCCTGACACAGTGGGAGATGAAAGACACAGCAATGGTATAAGAAGCAGGATCAGGGCTCAATAGCATCAGTTAGCACCTCCAAGCATCAAGGAAAATATGCTACACAGAAGGCCCACTCCACGCAGAGCCTTACACGCCCATGGAGACTGAGACTGTGGTGGTCTGTGTAGAATTATACACTACAGGGTGGAAAAGATGGGGTGAGAACCATTCTTGGGTTAATTTCAGTGCTCACTAGAACTTATCACCTCTGACACTGTAAGAAAAGTGCCCTTAATGGCTTGTATTGATAGATGCTTTGCATGTTGCCAAGGAACCTCACAGTCTCATCAAGTATCTGTCCAAGTACCTCTTCACTGTCCTACAGAGAAGTCTCAGGTCATGGCAATTCCACCTCCTCATCTTCATGAATGCTGCCATCTTCACCTGGAATCTTCCCGCCGTGTTCACTGGGGTTTTCCTTTCCTGTCTAAGATCTTGCCAAGTCCCGCCTCTGTGCCTGCAGCCTCCCTGAGTCCTCCTACTTCTGGCGCCCATCACCCTCCTGTTGTGTAGACTGATCTGGGCTGTGTAGTAAGCTCCTTTAAGGCTTTTCATTCGTTTATTTCACCTGGCTGTGATCATGCAAGTGTCTGCAGTGATACTGAGCACACCTGAAGGGTGGCTGTCTTTCCCACAGCGAGCCTGTGTCCTGTGTAGGTGGCACAGGGTCCAACACACATGCATTTATGTGGTCATCACTACCTGGGGGCATTTGCCAAAGCACAACTCCCAATCTTTGTGTTTACACAGACTCATATGCTCCCCTTTTCTCCTGGAGGTGCTGGAACTGCAGGCCTGCATGAAATAAAAAATAAATAAATAAAAAGCTAGGAAGCACTGATTAAGCCATAGCTATTCAGAGGGAGCATAGGACGATGATACATGTATTACTAAAACCACATCTGTTTTAAAGTGCATGCTCATGATTGTGTAGAAGCAGTTGAATGAATAACAAAACTAGAATATTGTGTACAAGTCAGTGCGGTTCAGGAAATGCCTAATGGCTGCAGTTTCTATAAAAGTAGAACTAATTTCTACAGTAACTTTGTAAAGGTAAAGATACTGCTGTCTGTCCAAAAATGATGTCAGTATTGACCATGAATTTTGAGAGAATCTCTTATTATTTGAGAATGATATCCAGTTATTTAGGAAGGACACCTGTGCACTCACCAGGGAAGTGCCCAGCCCTGCCTGGCATTGGTCATTGTGGCTTTCGTATTTTCCATGGGATGAGTCGAAGTCACCTGTGTTGAGTGGTTCTGATGAGAAGAATTGTGGATATGATGGAGATCAGCAGCAACTTGACAGATGGGCTGGAGGATTCAGGATGGGAGAAATGTGTGGAAGGGAAGGTTATGATCAGAGTGAGCCTGGGAGGGGTTCACTGCACTCAACGGGCCACAGAGGGCAGTGGTACCAGGGACGGGGCAGGCAGTGGCCAAAAGAACAGGCTGACAGTAAAAGGCAGATTAATCTGACGTTTGCCAGGCCTGAGGTGTTTTAATGCATGCTAACTCTTAGTTCTTACAACCGCCCAGCCGGTGTATAAATGAGCACCGTTCCAATTGTTGTGGGAGGAAGAGTCAGGATTGAGAAGTTTCTAGGATGCAAGATCTGCAGTCTCATCGCAGAATCATCAGAATCCAAGTAACCCACCTGAGACGAGCATTCCTCCGCCCACCAGAGCCTGATCCCAGAGCCTGATCACAGGCTCCTCCTCCCTGAGGCCCTGCAGAGAGCCTACACCCCTGCTCCCGTCTCTGTCTGTGGGTGGAACTGCATGCTGCTCTCCAATGGCTCCTTTCTTGTATCTGGACCAAGTTGGCCTTATTGAAAGTCTGATATTTAAATGATAGGTACTAAATCTTTTTAGGATGACTTTGAGCTGGTTTAATATGTAATCCCTATACAGGCCCCAAAATGCTTAAGCTCCTTTCTCCTTTTCCTCCTGGGGCCCATCTGAAGGATGGACAGTGCTCTCCGAATCTCCTCCTAGAAGCTGTGTCTTGAGGCTCAGTGTTGGCTCAAGTAAGGGACTCAGACCCACTGTGTATTGGAAATGGCAAGTATTGGAAGTACATGGGGATTATGGAGGGGAGCAGCATCTTAGAAGGAATGGACTTCCCAGCAAGAAAGCAGGTCCATTCCTACTGGCATCAGCAGGGACGATCTGGGCATGGTAGACATTCATTCTCACAAATAAAACTGGGGCCTCGCAGCCTTTGAAGGATCCTAAATCTATGTCATTTATGCAAAAACATAATCTTTGAGTAGACTGTGGCAGCCATACTTGGATGTTCATTAGAAAGGATGATATGGAGACTAGAGGTGGCCACACAATTTTTGATACTCTTCCCTTTGAGAGGTGGAATGATTTTTTCTCTCCCTCTGAATTTGAGACGAAGGGAATCTCATGACCCTTGTGACCAACAGAATGCAGTGGAAGTGATACTTTGCAACATCCAAAGCTTGGTCACAGTGGACTATGTAGCTTCCATTTTTATTCTAGGATGTTCACGCTTAAGACATTTCTTCTTATAATGCAGTTTCCCCAGAGGAAGAAGCCTTTTTTAAGTTTACACACATGATCTAGAAGTAGAACCAGTTTAACCCTAAGTTCAAAAATCTTTCTTTAATCCCTCAGCTCTCTATAAAACCAGAGGATGAGTTGCAGGATTGCGGAGTGTAGCATAGGGAGCATGTCCCTGTGAGGTGGGTGTGGGGTTCCAGTTAGGATTTTCCTTTCACCAGATGTGTGACTTTGGAGCTGTAATCCCTTCCATTTCACTTTTTTTTAACTTTATTAAGTTCTTTAATTGGTACATTGTAGGGATACAACACAATTGCATTTCTCATTGGGAATTGTACCTTTACATAATGCATCTTGGTTCTTATTTTTTCCTCATTCCTAGCCCTCCCTTCAC